GGGCAGGGGGAGGGCATTGGTGGGGGGAGGGAGCTCATGACTCTGTGGCACGTGGGCCCCACTGCCTGGGCCGGGGGCGTGGGTGGCCTCCTGTGGGGTGCCTCAGCGGGGATGTGCCAAGGGAGTCTGGGGCCCCAGTATCGCCCGGATTCCTTGGAACTGAGGCCCCTCCGGAGGGTGCAGGGTGGCAGGAGATGCAGGCTGCAGGGGGGAGGCCGGGCGTGCTTCCCGTGCAGCCTGGTCCGGCAGCTTCCTGCTCACCAGGCCCCGTGTTTCCTCTGGCCGGGCGGCCCAGGGCCCCTGCGGGGCCTTCCCCACCGCGAGCGGGGTCTATGGCTGCCTGGAGGGAGGGTGGGAAGGCCCCGAGGGCAGCTGGGAGACTCGACTCTGTTGTCCAGCCTGGTGGCTGCGGGTGACCGAGAGCCCTTTTGGACTTGCAGGTGCTCGTGCGGGAGCAGGAACGGTGTGGAAGGACCTGAGCATGGGCACAGGTGTTTTGAGGGCGGCCAGCACCTGCTTCCAGTGAGTGCTCCTTACAGGCCTTGTGTGTCGGAGCCCAGCGCTGCCCTCCTGGGACCTCTTACAGGGAGGGGCTGGGGTCCTGGGCTCAGGACAACGGGGCACTGGCCAGCTGGGGCAGGCCGGGACTGGACCTTGTGCTCTGCCCTCAGTGAGGTCTGCGGAGGTCAGAGGCATCCAGGGCGGGGGTGGGGGAGAAATGCTTCCTGTTGTCACATTGGGAAGACCCCACAGTGGCTCCAGAAGGGCCCAGCCTGCTGCCTGGGAGCAACATGCTGTCACCTGTGCTGTCCTCTAGCTGCCACCTGTTGAGGGGCTGCCAGGTCACACGTGGGATGACAGGTGTTGAGCTGGCAGAGTGGGCCTCGGCCCTGGCCATGCTTGGAGAGGCTCCCTGCACTGGTGGGTGGGCGGCTGCTGGGGACGGGCCTTGGTGGGCACCTAGCCGAGCCCCTCACAGCCGCAGGTGCTGGGGGCTCATTTCCTCCTCTTTAACTTGGCAGTTTCGTTTTGCCCTAGGAAACAGATTTCCCCCAAGGGCAGGCTTTGGGGAGGAGTGAGTCATATTGATCCAGCACTGATCTGGGACGGTCCAGCCCTCGCTCGGCCTGTCCGCCCCATGGCGCGGTCAGGTTGTGAGTGAACGCAGCGGCCCCGGCCTGGCTGCGGGAGCCTGGGACTCCTGGAGGGGGTTCAGGTCGGCTGTGTCACTGTTTTGTCCCCCGAAAGACAGTAGGGCTGGGGGCCAGAGCTCGCCGCAGGGCTGTACTCCTCCGGCCCTGTCCTAGCCCTGCCACTGGCCCTGGACTCCAGGTCACTGGAGCCCAGCCTGGAGCTGTGTCCGGGTGCTCCCTCCCTCCTGGGGTCCCTGGCGTCCTGCTGGCGGGCTGCTCCCTCCTCCTGGGCCTGAGGGCTTTGTCCCGAGGGCAGGGCCGTGCTGCTGGGGCATTCCCTGGCACCCTTACTTCCTCCGGTGCCCTGTAAACAGGATCTGGGCAGCATGAGGACAGACGGCTCCCTTCAGGCTGCTGGGGGGATGGTGGCTCGGGAAGAGCCCCGTGCCAGCCTGGGGGCGCAGGGCCGGAGGAGGCTGGCAGCCCCGGCGGGGGGTCACGGAAGCCGCTCGGTAGGAGGTTTCCTTGGGAGCGGACATTGTTCCCAAGAGCTCCGTCTGGCAGCTTTAGGGCAGCGTAGGGCCATTCCTGGCACCACAGCCATCAGTGTCCGCCCCGCCCCCGGCCTGACCCTGCTGCGGCTTCCGCTCCCCGGGCTGCCAGCAGCGCCCCCGGCCTTTGTCCCGCTGCCCCCTCTGCCCCCCTCACCCGTCTCGCTGGCCGGCGGGGGCCGCTTGGTGGAGACGTCTCGGCATGAAGTGGTTGTGGGCGAGCGGCTGGCAGCAGCAGGGGGAAGCAGAGGGCACAGCCCAGGCACAGGGCATGGGGTTCGGGCTGGCCGCTGAGTGCCCCACGGCCCCTTGGGGCCTCCCAGCAGTGGGGGCCCAGCACTGCTGGCCGGGTTGGGCACCGAGCAGCAGACGGGATGTGCGCGGGTGTTTGCTGTTCCCAGACAGTGCCCTCTGGCTGGGGGGACTCTGTGGCTCCCAGTCCACTGAGCAAACAGAGAGGTGACATGCTCCAGCAAAGTGAGTGCAAGTCAGACGAGGCGGCGGGCTGGGTCCTTCCTCTCTCCTGCCTCGGCAGGCCACAGCCGTGTGACCCTGGCGCGTGCGGTGCTGCGGCCCCTCGGCCCCTCCCAGCTGCCCCGCCTGCAGCCCGGCTCTGCGGGCCCTGGGTGCTCAGGCTGGGAGGGCCCCTGTGCTGCCCTCACAGCCTCTGCCACTCCCTCCGGTTGGCCATGGTCTCTCCTTTGCACTCACTGTCCCTTCTGTGTTCCCAGAGCTGCTCCTGCCCCTCTCCGGTCACACCCAGCCTGGCCGCCTCCTTCTCGCTCCCGCTCAGGCCCTGCTGCCTCCTCGGGAAGCTGCCTCTGCCCCCAGGCTGGGCTCCTGCCGTGCTCCCAAGGTCTCTGTGCTCCTGTTGGAGCCCCGTCCCTAGGTATCCAGCTGACTCCCTACCAGCGTTCACAGTGGACCACAGTGGACGCAGCACCTGGCACGCAGTGGGTGTGTGGGGTGTCGGGTTGGGCTGAGTCCTCCCAGGTCGCTGTGCCTGCCTGCGTGGGCTCCGCCTGGCCGCCCAGGACGACCCTGGTGGTTCTCCAGGGCCACCCACCCGAGATCCGAGGAGAGCGCCCGCCACGTCCCCACCCGGACCTTGTTTCACGCTCAAGGAGGCTCCGCTTCCAGACCGATCTTTCTCGATGACGATTTCACTGGAAGTTTACGAATTAAGCTGTAATGTTTTAAAATTGTGCATGCATCGAGTTTAGAGAGTAAATGAGATCTACACGGTTAAGTAAGGAAAAGCAGCCATCCCGGCCCGCGTCAGCGCCGTGTCGTCCGACCGTGGGTCTGGGGACTCTCATCTCTTCTGACGCCCATGCCCTTGTTGCCGCTGTGTGATTTTCAGGATTTAGACATTATTTATTGACTTGTAAGGTGAGGACTGAAGTCTGTTTCTGGGGCGTGTGCCGTGCTCGCGTCACACACGGGACACACACGCCGCAGTCACCGGGCGGCGAGGGCTGACAGTCATTTCTGTCACGGTTTGCGTTTCTTTGTCTCGTTTAATCTGTTACAAGACGGTAATGATTTTACTTTTACTTTCCTCGAAAGCCGACAGTTTGTTTTCCGTACGTAGACCTGGCGGTCGGCGTGTGTCCGCGGCGGCCAGCTTCCCCGCCGTCACACGGCAGCATCGCCACGCGGTCCCCGTCAGCGCCACACGTCGCAGTCTGTTGAGACGCCGATCCGTCTCCCTCTCTCGTCTTTTTCTTTCCCTTGAAGTTTATTTCTGGAAGGAACCAGGTTTTCCCTGAGCGGTGGAACCGATGTCTGTCCACTGACTTTATATCTCGCCCTTTTGCTGAAAACTCTTTTTACTATGGAATAATTTGTCTATAGAATTGACAAATTCTATAGCTTAACTCTCTATGCGACAGTACTATTTGTGGGCAATGACACCTTTTTCTCTCTTTTCCAGTGATTTTACCTTTCATTTCTTTTTCCTTCTTCCTGAGACGGCCGGAGCCTCTGAGCGACGCTGAGTGCACATGGCGATTAGATTCTGGTTGAGGCTTTGGGAGAACAGGACTTACGGAAACAATGGGATTTTGCTGTAAAACCATCTGGATTTCATTTTCTTTGCTGGGAGCTTTTTGATTCCCGGTGAATGTCTTTTAAGCGATCAGGCGCTCTGTTTCCTCTTTGGTCAGTTTTGTTACGTTGTGCTTTTCTGGACACGAGTCTGTCTCATCTAAATGTTCGGATTTCCTGAAATCGACTCGTACGGAATAGCCGTGGGCCGTGGGCTGTCATGCCGGGCGGTGTCATCGTGGTGCACCGCACAGCTCGGAAGGCAGCTGCTCTGTCGCTGGCTGTGCCTGGACCGCCTGAAGCGGGCTTGGTGGCGAGGCCGAGTGGGCCGCGTGTGCCACCAGCGTGGGCGGTATCTGATCACGGCCTCTTTTTATTCCTGATATCGCTTTATTTTACCTTTTTATTTTCTTCTTCAATAATCGACAAGGTACAGCAATTTCATGAGCCTCTGCAAAGAACTGACTTCTGCTTTCTCGATCCCTTCTGTTATGTGGCAGTTTTAAACTTTGATTTCTGTTTATATTTTTATGTTTTGCCCTTTCTTTGAGTTGAGCCGTTTTATTTTTCTAACTTCTAAGTTGGCTATTTGCCTCATTCACATTTCGTTTTCATTCTTTTCTAAGAAAAGCACTTAAGATTATAAATGTCCAAATTATCAGTGCTCTAGTTAAATGTTGAACATTTAAAAATACTTGTAGTATTTTTATTAACGTTTAGTTGTAAACATTCTATCTCCATTATGATTTCTGCTTTGGCCCCAGATTCATTTAGAATTCTATTGATCCTTTCCAAATGAATATATTTGTTTTCTAGGTGTCTTTTAAAAATGGCTTCTGACTTAATGGCATTTCTGCCGGAAAGGTCTGCGTCGTCCTGATTTGCTGGCAGCTGTGGAGATGGGGCGGCTCCTGGGGTGCTGGGTGTGGTTCTGGTTCCTGACCCGCGTCTCTGTGGGGTGCCCAGGGCGGGTTCCCCAGGACCGCTGTGCGCCAGGCCCTGCCGTGCGGGGTACACGAGACCCTGGGTAGTTCTGCAGAGCTTGGGTGGGCTCTTCGTGGTGTAACCGTCACATGAAGTGAAGCCACCCGGAAGCTTATTGACGCATGAAGAACTCACGTAAATGGGAGGGAAACCCCCAAATCTCACCCAGGTGCGCTGGGTCCGCAAGGAGATGGGGACACGGTTGGCTCACCGTGCAGGGGAAGTCGGCCTCACTGGTACTGAGTTAACGGGCGCCACGCCAGGCAGCGGGGCAGGCCGGCCCCGAGGCATGTGGGGGCTGCTGGCGCTGAGTGCGCCTGCTGCTCCCGGACCCCGGCCTCCCTGCCGGCCTCCCTGTCGGCCGCGCCTCTTCTCGGACTGTGGGGAAACCAGCAGAGACGTAGACGGGGGTTGGCTGCAGCGTGACCTACGAGAGAGAATTCCGGAATGCCAGGGGATAGCGCAGTGATTACAGTCGTGACGGGGGGTGACGTGGTCGTCAGGGTGAGCTGGGGAAGAATGCCGGACAACCTCCGCACACGTCCGGTGTGGGGACAGACGGGACGAGTGCCCGCAAAGCCACGCCCCAGCCTCCTGCAAGACCGCCACCCCCGGTGCTGACGGCATTCAACTCTGCTGGATGCTGTGGTTCCAAGTGATCTTTATTGTTTTCTCATAATTGTCTACACTGAAGTGTTTTCCTGTAATTGTGTGTGTTATTCTAATAACCAGAAACAAACAGTAATTGTTCCTGGGTACTCCCCCCCACTGCAGAGTTAAGGGTCACGTGATGCCAGAGGGCAGACCAGATGGGCCCCTCTGGGAGGGTCCGGATGGGCCGTGTGGAGAAACCAGACGGAGATGGGGGGGCCTGGTGTCCGGTGACCAGATGGCCGTGCGGCGAGGTCATTGGGTGGCAGTGTGGGCTGCTGGCTGGGCCTCTGGCCTCCTTGCCCCTACAGGAGCAGCTCTGGGGGGCCCCGAGAGTTGACCCCATCACCGGGTTCCTGCAGTGCCGGGCCACCCCCTTGCACACCGTCGTCTGGGCAGCAGTAAATCGGCTGGGGTTGGGGGCCTGGGGACTGTCTGCCTGCAGGGAGCCCGGGCGGCCTCTGGGGAGGAGGCCCTTCCTGCAGGCTCCCCACCGAGACCTTTGGGGAGCGGGGAATCGACAGGCCCAGCCCCCCTGGGAGATGGACCCTTTCCTGGAGGTTAGGGGTGGACCGGCAGAGACCCAGGGTCGCTGGGACGGTGGGGCCTCGGCCTGGCGTGTCACCGGCTGTGACTGCCGGGCCACTGCCTCCCCACGCACCGCGGAGAGGGCTCCGTGGCGACCCGGACACTGCAGTTCTCTGTGGCACGGGAATCTCCATCCCCAGACAGCCGGCCCGCGCCCTGTGCTTCTTCCCCGTCCTCCCTGCCCCGGGCGCCAGAGCCGGAGGAGGGGCGCAGGCTCCCCGGGGCGTGGGCTGCCTGCCTGTAGTTTGGGGCGGTGCTACCTGGAGGCAGGGGATGGACGATGTGGCCTTTTGTGCCCTCCCCCACCCCCAGGTGAGTCCAGTTGGGAGCCTCCGGGACAGTCCTGTCGCAGTCACGCTGGGCTGCAGTGTCCCCCAGCAGGGTGCATGCAGAGCAGGAGATGCACAGGCGGCCTCCCTCCTCTGAGGCCATTTCTGAGGAGCTCCGCTGTGGGCACTGGGCGTGACACTGGCCTGGGGACGGAGGTGTCAACCCGGGGGCACCGCCAGCTGTCCGTGGGGTCGGACGGTATTCGAGGCAGCCGGTCAGCCACCCCTCCCGGAGCACCTTCCCGGAAACCGGCCTTCACCAAGGGAGCGCCGGGCAGGACAGCCCGCAGCGGGGGCGTGAGGCCTCAGCCTGGCATCACCGACTCCCAGGCGCTGCGATCGGAAGGCCTCGCGGTCCCGGAGATGTTAAAATGTCTACAAAGTGCTCGGTGTTGAGCAGGTCCAGCAAACTGTGTCCAGGAATAAATGACAGTCATCGAAGAGAAGACTGCATCCTCCTTGGGGACTCAGCCCTGCGCCTGCGGCCTGTCGGGGCACCGGGGCAGATGCGCAGAGGCCTCATAGCCCGTCCCCCAGCCCCGCACGGTCATGCCGCAGCTCAGCAGCCGTGTGTCAGCGAGGACGGGCTGTTTGCGTTTCACTCCCAGTGCATGGGAGCGCTTCTTTTAGCGGACCAGTCCCATGCTCGGGTGTCGTGGTGACTTCAGATTGCCACACACGCTCCCGAAGCTTTATTTTCCATTTTTTCGTAGCCAGGTAGCACCTGTCAAGGGCCTGACCTGATCTCAGGGCCATACCTAAGGGACCTGCTCCAAGGAGTTTTGTCCTGGTTTGGAATCACCTTTCAGAAGGACCGCGGTGCAGAGAAAGACCCAGAACATCTGAAGTTCTGAAGTCCGTGCTGGCTTTCAGCTAAAGGGGCATTCAGAGGGTGTGGCAGCCAGGGAGGGCTTCCTGGAGGAGGTGGGCCCAAGTGGTGCCGCTGCTCCGCGTGGAGCTCAGAGGGCCCAGGGCGCAGTGCCCCGGGCGGCCCTGCGGGCAGGCCAGTATCCCCGTGACCGTCCCTCGCTGGCCCTAGAGTGCGCTAGTGTTGGACGGAGTGTGGAATCCGCCCCTTTCCCTGCCCGTTGCCAGAGTGCAGCCTGCAGGACCCAGGTGGGCCAGACGGGAAGGCGGTCAGGGGCCGGCAGGCACACCCCGAACCCCGGGCCCGGAAGAGGAAGCCCAGCTTCTGCCCCTGGAGACAGAGGTGCCGGTGTCCAGGGTCAGTGAGCAGCGCCGGCTGCTGTTCGGCTCGGGCCTGCTGAGGGCCGAGCCCACGCGCTGGTGCCTGTGTGGAGCCGCGTCCCGCGGGCTGTGAACGCACTGCGTGGCCGCTGCGCCCTCAGGGACCTCGAGTGGCAGGGCTGCCGGCTGTCGTGCGGCACAAGCCGGGCGAACTGCACAGGGTGGCCCCTGGCCCTGGCCTTCATGCTGTGGAGCAGGGGGTGGCCAGAACCTTCTCCTGCCAGGCCCTGTCCCCCAGGGGCTTGGCCTGCACTGCCCAGAGGCGAGTTCCTGTCCCGCCTCACCGCGGGCGTAGCCCAGAGACGCTCTCCCCCGGGCCGTCACCGCCCCTGTGCGGGGGCCCAGGAGCCCGTGTTCAGCCCCTTCTGCCCTTTATGGGGCGGGCGCACAGTGGCTCAGATGGCATCAGGGTGGTGACGGTGGTGACGGTGGTGACAGTAGTGAGGCGGTGGTGACCTCCAGGGCTGCGGCCACACTAGGGTTTCTGTCCTGGGGCCCTGGGCTCCTCGGCCTCTGCCTTTCACGCGGAGAAGCCCTCCTGCCTCCTCACGGGCTTGGGGGCTTGTGGCACTGTCGGTCGGAGGCTGATGAGGGCTGGGGGGTGGCTGTGCTGGGGCCACAGGGGGGCCGGGCGAGCGCGTGGCTGAGCGAACGTGCCATTGACGGCAGAGCAGCTGTGCAGACGGGGAGCAGCCGGGCAGAGGGCGGGAGTGCGGGCGCTCCTCTCTCTGCCTGTCGTCCAGCCCGTGTCGCAGGTCTCTGTTCCCCTGGTCTTCTGTCCTGAACCCCGGGAACGCGCTCTTTGGCTTGGGGTCGGAGGACAAGGGCCGCAGGGCAGGTCCAGGCCCAGGGCCGAGGGGCCGGTCCGCTGCTTCTCCCTTCGCCCCTCCGCCGCCGTCCCTGCTGGTCACTGTCGAGAACCCCCTGCCCGTCCTGCCCAGGAGACACGTGTCTGGACTGTCACCCTGTGCAGGTGTCCTAGACACGTAAGGGGGTGGGGGCGGGGTCGCTGGGGGTTGTTCTCTTGTGCGTCTGGCTCCGTCAGTGTCCTCTGTGTTCTTGGCACCCTCCCCCTCGTCACGGACCTGCAGTGGAGCGATGCGACAGTGAGGGTGACGGGTGACGGCTGTGGTGCCCGGGCCTCGGCCGAGCCGCTGACGCGATGCAGTTATAGACAGGAGGGGCCTGGAGGGAGGTGAGCGGGGACGAGGGGCAACGTGGGTCATTTCTCTGAGCTTCCCCGCGCCCGGGGCCCAGGTAGGTGCTGGAGTTAGGTGCATGGGGCATTTCTAATCCCTCCCCTTGTCCTTGACCTTGAAACAGGGCCAGAAAATACATGAAGAACTTTAAAACAAAGTGGAAGCAACACACATTTTTGACCAACGGCCAGCACGGACTTTGTCCCCTGCTCTGCTGCCGGCCTATGCGGCATGGGGTGCGCATTCGGACGGACAAGGCCACCGCCTCCCTGGGTGAGGGGAGTGAGCTGCGTGTGAGCCTCTGCCTGTTCGCTGTCCCCCTCGCCCGTGGGAGCTTGTGTCCCGGCCCCTCGTGCAGGGTCAGTGCGGGGCCGGTCAGGGTCAGGAGCGCCCGTCGAGTGGCCTGCCCGCAGGGCCGCACCCACAGGCCGGGGCGGGGCCGGGATCCCGGCCTCGTGGTCATGGTCGTGCAGACGCCCTCCCCGGGCGGCCCGCGAGTCCTCCCGTGCTCCCAGCCGCGGACCCCTGCTCCGTGAGCTGCGTGTCCGTTCTGGATGCCGGGGCTGGTCAGCTGTCTGTGGTCTTTTATTTTGTTCGTTTTGTCTTTTCGGAAGGTCAGGAGTCACGTTTCGATGTCGTCGGCGTCTTCTTGGTGGTTCTGCGGTTGTTCTCCATCTCGAAAGCCTGCCTGCTGCGGGGTCCCAGGGTCGCTGAGAGCTTTATGCTTTTAGCTTTCACATTGCTGCCCGTGACCCACGCCGCGGTCGCGTCTGAGTGGCCGTCTCGCTGCTCGGTCGGGTGAAGACCGTCTCTTCCCCACTGAGTTCCTCGCGCTTCTGGCCACAGGTGGACTGCGTCGCCTGCACCGCCGCCTCGTCTCTGCTCCTGCGAGTCTGCGAGTCCCACGCTGTCTCGATTACGGTGACTACACAGTACGTAGAGATGGCTTGGGACCCATTTCCTCCCGTTTTGCGAGGGAGTCTGTGCAGAACTGGTCTTATCCTTCCCTAAATGCTTGGCAGGACTCCCCAAAGCAGCCGCCTGAGCCCGGCGCCTTCGCCGTGGGAAGATTTTAAACTACCGCTTCATTAATGCTCTAGTGCTGTCTGTGCTGTTTCTGCTCAGAGGAGCTTTGATCCTTTATGTTTTCCCGGGAACTAACCCGTTTCATCTGAGTTTTCAGGTTGATCGTGGGGAGTTGTTCAGAGCAGCAGGGCGGGCGCTGAGCGCCTGTGGGGTCGGGGGCGAGGCCTCTCACCTTCCTGATGTTGCTAATTTGTATCCTCTGTATTTAGTTGTCGATCAGTCTGACTTTCAGTCTATCAATTTCGCCGATTGTTTCAAAGAGCCAGATTGGATTTCGTAGCTTTTCTGTTTGTCCGGTGTCAGCGTGCGTGATTGATTTCTGCCAGTCTGTATCATTGTCTTCCTTCTGCCTGCTTTCGGGTTAATCCGCTCTCGTCAGACTGTTGACTTGAGACCCTTCTAACGTGTTTACTGCTATACATTCTCCCCCGTGCACGGCTTTGCTCGCAAACTTGCATATGCTGTGTTTTCGTTCAGTTAAAAATATTCTCTATCTTCCTTTGCGATAACTTCTTTTGCTAATGGTTATTTAGAAGTACGTTGTTTAATTTTCAAATAATTCTATTTCCAGATATCTTTCTGGTCCTCTTTCTAGTTTAATTCTGTTGCAGTCAGAGAATATCTTTTGTGTGGTTTCAGCTATTATTAATATGTCGAGAATGGCTTTCTGGTCACTTGGCAGCAGTGTGTACCCGATCTGCTGGACTCTCCGATAAATGTCATCCGGGTCAAGGTGACCAACGGTGCTCGCGTCCGAGTATGCCCTGACATTCTGTTGACCGGTCTGTTAGCCACGGAGACGCCGGCAGCTCCGACGGTCTGCGGATTTGTCTGTTTCTCCTTTCGGTTCGGGCAGTTTCTGCGTCCCGTGTTTTCAAGCTGTGATCATAGGGGCATGCGTGTTTGGGAGCGTTTTGTCTTCTCGATCTGTTGACTCCTTTATTGTTTAAAAATGTCCTTTTCATCCGCAGCTGTGTGTGCTCCACCGTGAGGCCGGCGCAGCCACACCAGCTTCTGAGCTCCACTGTGAGGCCGGCGCAGCCACACCAGCTTCCTCGTGCCTGCCGTTGCACGGGGTGTCCCCACCTCCCGTTCATCAGCTCCCTCCGCTTCCGTGTGCAGAGCGGGTTTCTCGTGTGAGTCTGGTGGGGTTGGCTTCGCATCCCACCTGACCACGTCTGCTTTGGAGGGGAACGTCCACTGGAGCTTCCGGTGACGGTGGACAAGGCCCGTCACCTGCACGCCAGCGTGGCAGCCATTGGCCACGCGTGGACTGTATTGGACGACTTAGGTTTAGACCATTTATCTTTAGTGTAAACACCAGTATTTTTAGGGTTATCTCGCATCTTGATGTTTGCTATCTCTGTTTCCGTTTGTTCTCTCTTTTCTTCCTTCCTTTTTGAGGGTGGTCGGGTGTTGTTGAGTTTTCCATTTTACCTCCACTGTCGGCTTCTGAGTTACACCTGTGCGTTGTTCGTCACTGCTTGCTTTAGAGTTTATGCTACGTATCTTGAGTTTTTCACAGCCCGCCTTCGAATGCATTGCCTCGTTTTGCACACGGTGTGCAGACCTCACGGCAGTTGGCTTCCGTGTCCCCTTCCCATCCCCCAGGTGGTTTTCGTGCATTTACCACGGCACGCGTTAGTGACAGCACATCGTTGCTGACCGCGTACTGTCGATTCTGCTTCAATAATCAGTTGTCTCTTAAATAAATCAGAAACGAGACCAAGTGCCTTTTTCGTCTGCCGTCACACTCACTGTCCCGGCTCGCTTCCGTGTTTCCTCTGACCTCACGGACTTTTTGAAAACATTTCCCGTACTGCACATCTGGCTGGAGCAGAGTCTCTCAGCTTCTTTCGTGTGTGTCAAATAAATCTTTGTTTTGCCCGTATTTTTGGAATATTTTTCCACTGGGTATCGCATTCTGGAGGAAAGTTTTCCCCTTTCCCTTGGCGCTGTGAAGGTGTTGCCGAGTTGTCTCTCGGCGCCCGTGGTTCCCGCTGGAAGGACGAAGCGCTGTCCACGTTCTGTTCTGCGTGATGCGCGCGTTTTTCTCTGGCCCCTTT